GAGAGACCCTGTTTGAAAAAAATCCCAACATCCCTGCCAATGTTCTATTAAAAACTTATTGTGTATGGGCTCATATTTGCCATAGTACACACATGTGTGGAAGAATTCAGGGATAGGGAGGGGGTGGGTGGGTGTGTGTGTGTGTGTGTGTGTGTGTGTGTAAGTGTAAGTGTAAGATCCTTCCAGCTTTATGAGGGCTCCAGGGATCGAGCTCAGGTTAAATCCAGGTTTGTACAGAAAGGGACTTCATCTACTGAGCCATCTTGCCTGCCCTGTGCCTGCTGCTTTATTAAGCTGAACATATCCTTTAGCAAGCCACCTATAAAATAAAAATGCTTCCCATGTAACAAATCTTAGTATTTTAGCTCTACAAGAAAATTTGGATTCTGTCAGTTCAGAAATCTCCTAAGCTAATGTTATATAGTTGTCCAAAGGACCTAAGTTCAATTCCCAGCACCCACATGGCTGTTAACAACTGTCTGTAACTCCAGTTCCAGGGGATCAGACACCTTCACATTAATGCACATAAAATAAATTTAAATAAATTCTAAAAAAGAATGCAGTCTGGTTTACACAAAGAAACCATTGCAAAAAATAACAAAAAAGTAAACAACAACAAAAAAGTACATGCTTTTATTCCTAGTCTTGGTGGGCTAAGACAGAAGAATCCTGATTCCACAGGAAGCTCCTGTCTCAAGCATCATCATCAAGAACAATAAACCCCACAAAACAAGCAAACCCAAACTACGGACAGCACAAAGTATTAATTACAGTGGTCCACTATGCTGTCTACACATCTTTTGAATTTTTGATGGAAGAACATTTTACCTTAGAATTAACTCATCCCGTGCCATAACTTTGAAGTCTGTTTCACTCAGACGGACCTGTAAAGAAAATTAAAAAATGGATTGAATACTCTTTCCAGAATGCAAAGCTGTTTCCATGGGAGCTCTACACTGAGTTAGGAGACATCTCACAAGCTGTACTATTTAAACAGCTCAGTACTCATCATACTTTACAACTCTGGAAAATAGCCTGGCTGCTCCTTTTAAACTAAAAGCAAGGGCTGGAGAGACAGCTTAGTGGTTAAGAGGGCCTGGAACTCTTCCAGAGGACACCAGTTTAGTTCATAGCACCCACATCAAGTTCAGCTTTAGAGAATCCAATAACCCTTTCCCACCTCGGGGCTCCCCCAACATTCACATACACAAACAACAAACAGAAATCCCTACTAAAAATGAAAAGCCAAAACAAAGATTAAAATTGCATGTACCACATGACCCAGTAGTTGCATTCCTGAGCACACAGCCCAGAAAAAGTTAACATTCACAAGCAGCTTTATGATAGCCCAAAGCTGGGATCGTCCTGCTGTCCTTCAACAGCTAAGTATATATAAAACTATGATACATCCACACTATACAACATTCTTCAGCAGTAAGCAAAAATAAGACTACAGATATATGAAACAAATAAATTTGAAGGAAGTCATGCTGAGTGAAAAAATAATCTCAAAAGGAGACACACACACACACACACACAGAGCACTCAGGTTAAAGAAAAGGAAACACTGTAATTACAAGAGTTGGGGATGGAGCTAGAGGGTGAAAGTGCCTGTTAGGGAGAGCCCTATGGTGACCGTTCAGATTCTGATCTCAAACAAAGCTGCACACATGATAAAACCACAGTTCACATCGAAAGAACATCTGAAAAACTCCAAGTACCAACTCCCTAGTTTTTGAACAAGGCTCAAAGAATATCCTTGAATATTTTAAAAACTTGACAATTTATAACTTTGCAATAAAGTTTGAAAGTAGAACATAAGCTGAAATTGTTTCATACATTTAGAAATGTTTTCCCCTATTTTTTAAAAAAAGGAAATTTGGGGCTGGAAAGATGGCTCAGTGATTAAGAGCATGTACTGCTCCTTCCAGAGGACCTTAGTTCAATTCCCAGCGCCGATGTCAGATGGACTCAGAACCACCTGTAACTCCAGCTTCAGGAAACCTGACACCTCTGGCCTCCTTAAACACATGAGCCCAGGTGTACATTACCCTGACACTGACTGACTGACTGACAAACACCTAAAAAGTAAGTAAATAAATATTAAAAAAATTCTTGGAGCATAGCTCAGTGGACCAGTGCCTACATAGATGTATGAAGCCAAGCTCGAGGCCTGGAGGCACAGAAATCATTTTCTTTAAAAAGTGTCTCAGCCCAGTGTTGGTGGCGCATGCCTTTAGTCCCAGCACTTGGGGGGGCAGAGGCAGGCAGATCTCTGTGAGTTCAAGGCCAGCCTGGTTTATAGAATGAGTTCCACAACAGCCAAGGCCACAAAGAGAACTCCTATCTCAGAAAACCAAATCAAAAAGTGTCTCAAGTATTAACCAGTAACACCACTGTAACATTAACTCAGAGAAAGCAACACAGCTCTCACATACTTAATTCACTCAGTTCTTTATTCACTCCGTGAGTAATGTGACTCAAAACTTAAGGCAGACTTTTATACAACAGTTATTACATCAGTCATTTAAATATGAACAAACACCAAGCTTTTCCAACTGAGTTACAAAGTCTTCTATAAACTTTATTATTCTTTTTAACAAAGCCTCAGGGTAAGTATAGTATATCAATACTATAAATGTAATAGCTAAACTCATGTAGGATTACAAAACTGGGAAATCAAAAGCTAGAAAGTGAAAGAGGAAAACATTATAAGAACTGGTTGTAGCCATGAAAAGTCCACAAGTGGCTGGATTTAAGTTATAACTCTGGAGGATTTAACTAATTAGGAAGGAAAATAATGATAAATATAAATATATGTAAATCATCCGTAAAATAAAGTTTAGATATTGTACATGGCATGTGTGTGTAAGGAAATATTCATATAATTCAGGCTAAGAATTGCAGATCACAGGGATCCTGTAACGCCTTCCAAAGCTGTGATCAGTCATTCTAAATATTAACATGCAGATACACATTTAATACTTTGCACCTGATGCAAAGTGTAAGGGAAAGGAAGTAAAAAAATAAGAACACAGAATAGCCCCTAAACTTTAAAAAATGAAGTACTTGAAACTGCTGAAACAACATACCTTTTTAGGAAGAGGTTCTTCGTTGGTCATCTTGCACCCTAAAAAAGGGAGGGGAGGGTGTTGGGGAAAAGATTTTCAGTTGTTTTTCTTTCAATTAGTTTTTCCTCTCAAAGTTAAAACTGTTTCTTTCAAACCAGTTATCAGCAAATGTTAATGTGAAATAGTTATTAAAATAATCATTTATTTCATAATTGTTTGATCCATTCATTCATTGCAGTGAAAGGGATTCAACCCAGGACTCTTCCTTCACATTCTAGGTAAGTGCTCAGTCACTGACTTTAGCCTAGGATAGCTTCAATTTACAAAAAAAAAAAAGCACAAAGGCATGAGTTCACATTTCCTCTTTGCCTAAGATCTTTCATTATCATGCTTATGTAATTTTTAAAAGAGTTTCCTGTAAGTCCAACCTCAGAAGGCAATCTAGGCATGTTGCTGGAGGGGCAGCACCAGGCAGCTTCAAGACCTGACTTCTGTAGCATATTTTGTTACAATGAAGCAGAATCCATCATATAACTTATTACTCTCCAATAACATTAAATATAAAGCATATAGATCTTAATGAAAATATGCTTGTACCCCATAATTACATGTCAAAGCAATCTGTATTTCAAGATTAGCTTTATTTTTTTTTTGGGGGGGGGGTTTGAAACAGGGTTTCTCTGTGTAGCTTTGGAGCCTATCCAGGCACTCACTCTGGAGACCAGGCTAGCCTGGAACTCACAGAGATCCACCTGCCTCTGCCTCCAGAGTGCTGGGACTAAAGGCATGCGCCAACAACGCCCGGTCCAAGATTAGCTTTTTTTTTTATAGCTATATTTATGGCTTTGAAATCAGACAGTGCCAGGATTAAAGGTGTGCACCGCCACGCCACCACCCAGCTGTTTCTCTGTTGTTTTCTAATATTAAAATTTAACTGGGAAACATAATTTTATTTCTAGGCCCTAGTTCTCACAGCACATTTATCAAAGTTCCCTTACATCTTTAATTATTTTTCCATTTTATTTTACTTATCTATACCATCAAAAATTCCAACTATAAGTTGTACACGCCTTAAATTCCAGCACTCTGGAGGAATAGGCAGGTGTATCTTTGTAGTTTGAGGCAAGCCTGCATTGAGAGTTCTGGACAGCCAAAGGTACATAGAGATCTGTCTCAAAATTCTGAACTATTAAAATTTTGACTGAAGAATTTGTTGTATCGATTTTTAAAAGACATTTAATTGCTTAATGAATATTTGAGATTTGTCAAAATTTATCAAAGTTTCCAACATCAATTTTTACATATATTCCCATATGAACTAGATATTTTAATCATACCACCACTGAACCCTGGTTCTCAAGTTAGGTCTGTTGTACAGAAGAAATCAAAATTTTAGGAAAGTACTCTAAACAACCACATAATAAATTACTAGCTTAAATCTCTATTTAAAAATCTTTCACGGTTATAGATGTGATACAGTTGTAGACTGCATACGAAGCACATGAAAGGCCTGGAGTCTGAGCCCTGGGACTGCAAATGGTAGAGAAAAATACATACACACACTTTTGCATTTTGATTAACTGGGACTGAGTTCTAGGCCAGCCAGGACTACACAGTGAGACCCTGTCTCAAAAAAACAGAAATCCAAAACACAAGAAAACATGTATATGGCACAGCATATACAGTTCATTACAGCACTCAGCAGGAAGAGGCTCTAGAGTTTCAAGTTCTACACAGCAAGGAAGTTGCAGGCTAGATAGTGCTACACAGAGACACACTATCTTAAAAAACAGAGCAAAAAACAGAAAAATTCAAACATGACCAACTTGGCAGCCTTCCAACAGGTTTAAAGATGATTGGTTTTAAAATTATGTAAGAGAGAAAGCAGCTGGAGAGATGGCTCAGAAGTCACCCCCCCCCCCAGCCCCATTTTGTTTTGTTTTCCTTCAAGACAGGGTTTCTCTGTGGCTTTTGGAGGCTGTCCTGGAACTAGCTCTTGTAGACCAGGCTGGTCTTGAACTGACTGAGATTGGCCTGCCTCTGCCCCCCCCCCCCAGTGCTGGGATTGAAGTCATGTGCCACCACCGCCCAGCACACCCATACTATAGCTCATATTTTTTTCCCCCAAGGCAGGGGTTGTCTGTGTAGCCCCGGCTGTCCTGGAACTCACTATATAGACCAGGTTGGCCTCAAACTCACATTCTCCTGCCTCTGCCAGGAGGTAAGGAGTGTGCCACCACCCAGCAATAAGTATATTTTTTATTTCAGTTATTTGTGTAGACAGTTCAGAGGTAATGTATCTCAAATTTAGAATGTCATTGATATCCAGCTTGCTTAGGTTATGGAATTCAGTTTTAGTTGACTAGGTGCCTGGCATTCCAGATCTTAACACTATGATCCTAAGTTAGGCAACTGAGCAGACTCTGGAGAAGGGAGAGCACAAGCCAATATAACTTATGCAAGAAGACATGTATATGCATCCCTGAAGTAAATCACACTGGATATAAGGAAACCATTACCTGACAGTGCTGGGCCTTCAACACTGCAGGACCAAGGGACTAGTTACAAATCAGACCACTATTTCAGTCAGTCATACATGCTTAGTCCAACAAGTCACTTAACTCTAGGCTTCAGTTTCCGTATTAGTAAAAGAGAGTAAAACCAGTGTTGCTTGGCGAATAACATGCTGCATACCTCTGTTATTGGTGGCATAAAAAAACACTATTCAAACAAGGATTGTTTGAACAACATAGAAAACTTAATAAACATTAGGAAAATAAACTCCACCAGCATCTATCTTTAAGGCAGAGAACATTGACAACACTGAATTCTAGTCTGATGGAAGAGTCTCACTAAATCCAATAGCTTATACAACTAGGGGAATACTGAAAATTTTTCATATATTCAGTCAGAAAACAGGAGATAATTAAAAACAAGAGTAATGTTATCTTTATCTTACATCTTGCTTTGCTAAAGGTTGACTAAAGACTTCTAAAGAGCATGATACAAGTAATACAACTGTTATTACATAGGACTAATCAAGACGGCCAACAATATTTTCAAGGGGAGTCTATAACAACAACAACAAAAGACAGGAGGGACCTTGAAAGCTGTAAAGTCTGTCTAAATACATCAAAAGGCTATTATAGCTGGGCGGTGGTGGTGCATGCCTTTAGTCCCAGCACTAGGGAGGCAGAGGCAGAGGCAGGCAGATCTCTGAGTTCGAGGCCAGCCTGGGCTACAAAAGCTAGTTCCAGGACAGCCTCCCAAGCCATAGAGAAAACCTGTCTTGAAAAACCAAAACCAAAATAAAAGGCTATTACAAACAGTATATTATATGGTTGTGCAAACACATTCATCTGCTTAGGTGTGAAGAACTAAAGCACTCTGCCCAAATTCTTAGAATTCAACTTCAATCACATCCAAAGCCACCTGTCGGACTGCAGTCTACTCAACTCCCTGATCAGTCGTGACTGAATGAATGAATGAATAAACCTAGCCACCTCGAAAATTCGTCTTCATTTCAAACGTCTGTTTACCTATGAGAAAACCTAATGTTCAGCTTTAGAAAAAAACATGCTATTTTAAAAGATTTTATGTTTATGAATGTTGTACAAAATCAGCCACTTGAAAAAAAAGATTTTATATTTATGAATGTTCTGTACGTATGTATGTGCACCACGTGCAGGCCTGGTGCCGCCCACAGATATCAAAAGAGGAAGTCAGAATCCCAGGAACTGGATTCAAGGATGACCATGAGCCATCATTTGGGTTGTGGGAACTCATGTCCTTTAGAAGAGCAAAAAGTGCTCTTAACTACCGAGGTAACTCTCCAGTCCTAATGCTCAAAAATGCAAGTTAAAGGGAAGAAAAAAGACAACAACAAAACACCAGAATTTGTAATAACAGATCTGTGACTTCCACTCATCTTTCGGATCAATAAAATTAACTAAATGAAAAAAGCTAGGGTGAAAACGACGTAAAGGGGCATAAATAAAAATTATGAACAAATGAAACTTAAATGCTGCTTGAAGCTGTAACACGCCCCCGATCTTTACAACCAGTTAAGTGTTTCAGTCCTTTGGGGTCAAATTAACCGACTTCCTCATTATCAAACCAAGAACTGGGGGCCGGGGGAATAGCTCAAAGGCAGAAAGCTGGCCTGGCATGCACAAGGCCTAGGATTCCATCCCTAGCCGCCCCCCCACCCCGTAAGAAAACATGTACACAAACACAAAAACTTAGACCTTTTCCCACTGTGCATTCACTCTTATGGAAAACTGTTTTAAGTTTGTTCAAATCAGCCTCACAGAGATCCAAAACGAGACTGAAAGTTGACGAAAAATGTCTCGAACCTGTCAAAAATCAATTCTCCTCACAATGCATGCACTTATTTAAAAATGGAAGTCCACGGGAGAACGCGGCTGCAGCTACAAGCTATTGCGTGACGTGAAATTCGGTTTCAAAAAACCCGAACCCTTCTGGTCTGTGCCCGGCAGAACTCGTCGGTACCTCTGGGTCGCCGGGAACCCGCCCTGGGAGGTGGGAGGGGGCGACAGAGGCGGGGGGG